ATAGAAACAGCTGAATTTTTTGGCTCTTTTTCAGTCCCCCTTTGCTTTTTCTGAAATTCGGTATTTGAAAGTGTATTTAAAACGACTTTATTTATTATAAACTACATTAAAACGTGTCAGCATGAACAGGTGAACAATTTTTTACGATGTTTTTTACATGCAAAATGCCGTGTGAATAATTTTTCACAGCAGCTTCATTTTGTAAGTTTACGAGGGGGCGTGAAACTGGGAAAGAGCCGATTTTTCAACTGATTCTGACTGGCACAAAGAAAACCCGTAAGGACTGAAATAGAATCAACTGAATTATCATATGAAAGCGTTTTTAGACATAATTCAGACTTTAAAAAGAAAAGTTTCCAAAAAAATGGTTTGACGAAAAATTTGATTTTGTAGGATTTTTTTAAAAGTTCTCATCTACTTTTGCAGATTAACTATCATCTGAACATTCTTTGCTTTTTGCACAGAGACCGGAAACAAACTACAGTCGTTAAAACTTATTCTGATGTTTCAAAATGGATCAACCTTTTTCTTGGTTTCGAAGTCTCCCTCACTGTAAACAAGTGCCATCATTTTCACTTTCAGGTCGTTGGCAGTCTCCAGCAACGTCTCCTGTCAAGAAAAAAAAACTAAATTGACTATGAAGCTGCAACGCAGTTTGAAACCATGTATTGATTTAATTTAATTAGGGAAGTTTCATAAGTTTGGTTAGGCGCGAATCACAATTTCTTTAATCTTTTGCAGGATTGGATCTAGAATTTTCTCGAGGGGGGGGGGGGGGGGGGGGGGTGGGAGGAGGGGGGACGGCATTTTTGAATTTTATAGGTCGACCAAATTAGGGCACTCCTAGAACACTATTAAGACAGTATTTTGACCAAAAAGATATCGCCGCAGGCCGAACGCTTTTTTTGGCGCGCGCTCCATTTCAAAATTAGAATATATTGGCACCAAAGGCGCTTTTGGAAAAATTTTACGGTTGGTTTGTCAAAAATGGATGTCACAGAATAGTTTCAAAGGGGTCCCTTTGGTTGGTGAGGGGGTCGAATACCTGAGGGAGTACGTCCGTCCCCTGTCGCTCTTCTAAATCCGCCCCTGATCTTCAGCAAAACCTTAACTTTCAATAGTAAGTTTTTCCATAAATGTAGTCGAATAAAAAAATTCTAGCTCGTTTTTTTTTCCTATTTGTAATGTTTATTTGGATCGTGTTTTTTATGGTTTTGTTATAGTCGTAAGTTTGGAAATTCAAAAAAGTTGTTAATAAGTTTTATTGTAGACAAACTGTTAGATATCAAATCGAAATCTTACTGCACTCTTTTATTTCAGATTCCATCGGAAATTAGAGATCGCAAGGTCAAGACAGCAGGTCCCTAGACAGAAAGAAGAATTGATAGCAGTTACATAAACTCAAACTGGTGTCTATCTAGAATAATTGATAGCACTTACATAAACTCAAAACTGGTCCCTATCTCATTCGGGCAACCAAAAATAAATTTTAGCGTAGATAAAATTTATCAACTTTATATTACTGTTTGGTATAGTTTAAATGTACTAGTTCAGTTTTAGTTTTCGTTGAGTTTTCTCATCCGCCAAACCTCTCTTAAGGTTTACTTTTCTCCTTTTTCTCTTCTTGTCAATTCCCTCATTTATGTTCTATGCGGTGGATCATAACCCCCCCCCATTTTGTCAACTCCGCGTCTCTGCCGTGTTGATTTCCGCGTCGCCGTTTCGTACTGATTTTTATTGCGTTTTTCACCGACGGATCGTGGTGAGTTCACACTAACCGACGGTACATCCTGTCCTTCGTTCGCCGCACCTATGGTTGGTTCCCTTCGTCCGATTTCCCACTCACTATTGTAGTCGTCGTCGTCGTCCTCGCTCTCATCCGCCGAGTATTCCACTATTCGCTGTTTTGTCGATTTTCTTGCATTTTCCATTGCAGTTCAGTCCTTCTCCGCTTTTCGCTTATACTTGTTTGATTCGCTTGAGGCCGGTGTACTACGTTTCTAGTCCGTCCAGGGGTGCACTCCTCGCTTCTATTCCCAATTAGGCTTTCTTCAGCCGCCTATCTAAAAGACACTCCACTCCGCCTTAGTAACGACCCTTTTTCCATTTGCACCGTATGTTTAGTCATTTTTTCAATTTTTAATTGCAAACGTTTATACCTCCTTGGGTCCTTTGGATCCGTCTTCCCGGTCCTCTGATACACCGTTGTTGAACTTGTTTTATGCTTTTTCAGCCATGTTGGGGTCTTGGGTGGGCTCAGTTCCTTGGGGTCCACAACTTCCGGAGCCTTGGGATCCGTTACCACGTCATCGTCCAAAATGATTGGAGCTTTCCTATTTTGAGGGGCGTACACTAAGTCATTTCTCTTCTCCCAATCTAGGGTAAGTTCAACTTCTGGGAGGTTTCCCGCCTTGTCTAAACAAGATAACTTTTGATTAACCACATTGTTCCAATTTAGGTTTTTCAATGACGGCTTTTTTGTTAAATTTCGCAGTGCCGTATTTGCTTCTCGACCATGGTATGCTTCGAACGGCGTTAGTTTAGTTTTAGAGTGTGGCACGAAACGTAATGCACTAAGCGCACGGGATATCATCTCCCCAAACTTGTAGTTTCTATTTTCCTGGAGATAAGTCAACACGTAATTTTTTATCGACCCAATAGTCCGTTCAACCATTCCTGTTGCGCGATGATCCTCAACCGGAGATTTAAGAAGTTCGATACCTTCGTAGTTACAGAAATTTTTAATTTCGTTAGAGAAAAACCCCGTGGCTTGATCCATGTGCAATTTCCTTGGATGTCCATGACTATTTATGTACTTCCTTAGGAACTTCAATACATTTTTTGATTTGTTGCTTGAACAAACATACGCCGACGGCCAATGCGAGAAAGTATCTACTGCTACAAGTACATATTTTTTTCGACCCCTAACATAGTTTACTGGACCCCAGAAGTCTAATTGGACCAAATCATTTGGTTCCTTAGGATCATACGTTTCCCCCATATCATTATTCGGAATGTCCGGTTTAAGGTTTTTTCCTGCTTCTAAGCAACTTTTGCAGTATTTGGCTGTGGCCGCGATATTTCGGTGCATAAGGGGAATCCACGCGTCCTTTGCGGCCGCGAACATCTTATCCCGCCCATGATGGTTATAATGGAGGCGATTCAGAATTGCTGATGATAGGTCCTTCGGTATTGCTAACCGGCCGTCCATCCACAGGAAATTCTCCCGTACTGCGAAATCGTTGTAATGCTGGGCGTAATATTGTCCTAATCTTGTAACAATCTCCTTTGCTCGTGGGTTCCTGTCTCTGATGTTGTCTCTGATGTTGTCTCGGATCAAAGCACGGTAACCGTCGGTTTCCGTGCTTTGAATATGCGTTGCGCCTCATCTCCGATATAAAGATACAAGCTAGATTTTAACTTTGTTTCCGAATCGAGGCGGTTTTTTCCCTTGACTTCTTCAGGTAACGCCGTGATAGCCACGGCATTTAAAGTACTCGCAAAATAGAAATCATCGGGATCAATGTCGTATTTTGCTATCATCCCCCAGTGAAATTATATTATCCACTCCTCCCAATATACTGGAGGTTCCGGCGTTCGTGTTTCCCAAAATGCTACTATATTTAATGGATTTTTCCTCCCTCCTTTTTTCTCTGCTGGCTGCGCCATGTTAAAGTCGTAAGTTTGGAAATTCAAAAAGGTTGTTAATAAGTTTTATTGTAGACAAACTGTTAGGCATCAAATCGAAATCTTACTGCACCCTTTTATTTCAGATTCTATCGGACATTAGAGATCGCAAGGTCAAGATAGCAGGTCCCCAGACAGAAAGAAGAATTGATAGCACTTACATAAACTCAAACTGGTGTCTATCTAGAATAATTGATAGCACTTACATAAACTCAAAACTGGTCCCTATCTCAGTTTTTCGAAAAATGTCTTACCTGTTGTGTAATTTCTTCGTTAGTCGCGCCCCCAAACATGCCATGTTTCCTTCCGATGTACTTCAAAATCGCCATGGACTGGGCAATCTTCACGTCCCCGTCTATCATCCAGGGTAAGTTGGGAAAATGTATCCCCAGATTATACTTATCCTGTTCAAACCACTCGGCGATGTTGTCGGGCTCGTAATATTTCCACTCATATGGCTCCTCCAGGTACTCTAGCAGCATTTTGATTGGCTCACCGAGCGCACGAGGCTTCCAGTAGCCGAATTTCATCACCATTTTGAGTATATGGTATCGTTTTAAACGCTGTTGAACCAGTTGAATAAACGATGATAAAGCTTATTAAAAGTTACTGATACAATCTCCAGTTCAGCCAAAATGATTAAGTCACCTTTGAACAGTGCGTGTAAATTATTGAGTAACTTAGAACGACTTTGCAATAAATGTGTAGAATCAGCCAGATTGTATTTTAATGTAAACAAATCTGCTGGTAACAAAACTTTGAATGTTCGAACTGCCTTTAACGTATGAGATGTCGTTTTTGGCAAAAAAAGTCATCAGAAAAGCGCTTTTCCATTTTTTCTAATAATTACATCCCACGCGCAATCTCATGAGCATACAAAAAAGTTTGATCACATTTTTTGAAGTTTTACAAAATAGGCAAAAAAGAAGGTTGGTTTTAGGCAATTTTTGGAAAGTTTTGACCAACAAGATTGCGTTTTTTGGCGCGCGCTTTCTCCTCCATTCATAACTATTATATATTGGCGCCGAATACGCCTTTAGTATAACTTTAATGTCGGTCGGCAAAATCTAGATAACCTGTAAAATTACCAGAGGGACCCTTCGGGTGGTCAGAGGTCAATATTACAAAGAAAAACTGGTAGGCGAGAGGGAGGGCGCTCTCCAGGCCTCCCTGAAATCGTAAGTCTCCTTTTTATCACACTAACACATTGTTTGGACGCCTCAACTCAATTTGGAACTATTTCTTAGCCCTATAATTTGCCACTTCACTGCGCGTTAACAGAAAACTGAAATTGTTGCGCAATCTAGTTTTTAAATTTGTAGTTTTTGGAGTCCCTGGAATTTTGCAAAAATTGATTGCAGTATAATAACCTTTCAATTTTGTGCTCAGACTGTCATATTTTTCAGACTGTAAAATGATCTGGTAAAATTTGATCAAATGGAAAATGTCTGCACATGTTTCACATGTCAGCATTACGAGGCCAAACTTTGCATTCTTAGCATTGTAAGCGGATTCAGAAACTGGCCAAAATCAGATTTGTTGCGGAATCCTCAACATTGCTACTTTTTAAAAATCTTCTCTGCTGTTTTGGTTTCCAAAAACAAATATCGTTTTGGATTCCACAAACAACAAGTCTTCGCGCAATCCGGAAAAGTTTGTGGAGTCACAAGCAAACAATAAGACAAGTGTTTATAAAAACAAGCTGTTTTGGAAATGGCAATCATGAGCGGAATCCGCAATTTTTGAGTGGAATCAGCAAATTGTTAGCGAAGTCCGCAAATTGTAAGTGGAATCCACAAACTGTAAGTCGAATCCACATATTGTTTGGGGATTACAGTTTTTTATCCATATGTGTATATGTAGTAGCGTTTTAAGTTATATCTGTATATACTAAGTGGCCACCAGCAAGTTCATTTTCAATTACTGCGTTGATCAGCTATCAGTTAAAATACCACATGTTCAATCTCAATTCCTGTCAAACAATCAACTTCGATCTCAATTCCTGTCAAACACCCTACTTCAATCTCAATTTCTGCCAGCTGAACAAACTGAAGTAAGCTAATTCCTCAGCTTAATTCAAAATAAAAACGATAATTTTAGCCTTGTACAAAAATTTGATGTAGTTGTTCATGTTTTGTTAATTTGAGCTGTAGTTGATCGCGTTTTGTTAGTTTTTATCTGCAAGAAGTTTCTTGGTAGAAATTATCATTCAATTGAATTAATTCATTCTTAATCCCTAAGAACAGTTTTGTCTGGCTAGCATCATTTTCAGACCATAATTTTCAATAAAAAAACGGCAAATTAAAAACGGTTATTTTAGAAAGTTCAAAAAAACCAAACAGTCATAACAATAAACAGTAAACAGTTTAGGTAGTTCAATGGAAGTCATAAGTATAAACATGGACGGCCTTAATATTTCGAAACACCTCTCGGTAGTTACCCTCGATGGCATATCTACCTTGGCATGCATTTATATGGCATCGGGTTGTGCTCATAAGGAAATCTCTTTGCTCTCTGAGATTTGATAAGAGTATCCATCTCACGTTAGTTTTAGATGGCAAAAATCCCATTTTTTCCAAAAGCACAGAATGCCAAGACTGATGGTATCCAAAAAGTCCTGAAGTTATGCCGCCCAAAATATCAGCAGCACACTGTGTGGATGATAAACTAATGGCCTTTCTGGATACTTGTGTAGCTGAAACCAATATGAGTATTTCTCCTAATTTTTTCCTTATCAAGCCAACGAACCTTTAATTTGCCGAAAACACTGCAAAAATTTGGCCAATTGGATGAGTGGTATCACTCAGATTGCAACTAATTATGTTCTAAAAACCAGGCACAAGTGAAGCAGTCAAAGTTTTTTCAAAACTCGAATTATAACAAACAGCTAACAAACAACAAAAATCTTCTTCAGCAAGCTGCTCCAATTCAGCGGGCATTCTCAGGAAAATTTTAGCATTTTCGATCTGTAACATGATTCTCCGTTCAACCAAACTTCAAATATTCCACTCGGAAGTTTTCTTCAGCGCGCAAGATAGTCAATTCTAGCTATAATCACAAACTTCAGAATCAATTGCGACCAGGTGAAATGCAGTATAAATTTCCAGAATATCAGGTGAAATCGACAAATAGATAAACAGTATATCAGGATATTGGACGTGATTAAAATGTGGATTAGTTACACAGTTGATTAATTACATGATAGTTTTACCTGCATTACACCGTTGTTGCATGGAGTGATTTTCAAAATGGTGACGTTTTCTTTCTGGCGAATCAAAATAGTCTGCGATTTTTCCTCCTCATTTGTTTTTTTTCGGGTCTAGGTTTCTCAGCATCATTGGATGTTATTCAACCGTCGGGCAGTGATTTTCCGACTCGTTTGCCTGATTCGGTATATGACTTGTTTTTCAAATCTGAGTTCCTAATTTATGAACAGCCACTGCCTGATAGTTCGTTTGCCGCAAAATCCTGAGGTTTGTCGACCAAATGAACTGTGCACTGGGACACAAAAGGGTCATCGATGATTACAATTTTTTTTTACACTCCCAGCATGTTCAAAAAAGACCATCGAGTCCTATTCAGCCATCTGGGGTTAAAAGATAGCTTCTTCTTTCTCGAACTTTTTCTGCTGATGTCACAACCGTCCTTGTGTTCTTGAAAGTTTCTTATATTCCAAGTTGCGAGTTTTTTTTTGTCTTCTTGAACGCTAAGTATGGCAATTCTCAGCCATTTAGACCATTTAATTTTTACGCATCAATCGCTGATTAATGATAAAAGTATTGCACTTTCCCATATGAAAATGACGGCATCAAGGACTTGTACTTTTTTTTTACTCGAAAATTGAATAGAATGGAGCATAAACTGTAAAAAAGATAGAACTGAGGAAAAATTTAATGAGTCAAATCAAATGAAACTTGGTGCAGGACTTATTGCTTCACTGATAAGGACTGCTTCACTGATAAGAAGTACATAGAAGCTGCAGTCGCTTGGTGTGATACAAAGTTAAAAGAGTGGAAAAATTATTAGACATCGGTGGACCTAATTTTGATAATCCAATTAGAACTGGTGTTATCGATTAAGATGGGTTTGGTGATAGTATCAGTGCACTCTAAATTTGATGGGAGCATTTGGCCGCTTAATTGAAATCAGTTCATCCTCGTCTTGTACTCACCATTAGTCGCAATAACTCATCGAATCATTTCATCCAGTGAAAACTTACTCAAGTGAACTGTTGAACGCCAAAAGATCATATTCAGTGCCTTCCACTTCCCCATGAAGAATGAAGTGCCCTCTAGTAACCCTGTGCCCCCGTAACAACTCGCCACAGCAGAGACATCATCATATGCTCCTCCGTCAACGTATGATCCCTTTGCGAGCACCCCCGCGACCTTTCGCCTCACCTATTCCACCGCAATTTGAGCAACCGCATACCCCTCTGCGACTTGTCCATACAGGCCCTCGATAGTACAGCAGTACCAGCAATATGCAAGCTACATGGATTGCAAATGTCAGCATCACAGTATCCGATTTCTCCATGGTCATCAGGAGTTCCTCATTGTCGGGAAACTGAAAGACCACCGCATGACCATGAGAGAATCCAAGAGCCCACGGAACTACCAGCGGACAAGCCCACGGAACCACTAGTCGACGAGCCCACGGAACCAAAAGCCCAGGGGCATGACGAGCCCACGGGAACAAGCCGCAAAATTTATCCTATAGAGCCAAAGAATATAGGGGAAACAGTAAGTTGAATAAATGTTTTCAAAAGAACGTATAAAAGCATAAACTATTAGTTTAGTGAACTAATTATCGGAACATTTTTTGAACTAAATATTAATTTTAGCAACCTCGAAAAACCTTCAGCAAAATATGTTTTTCCAGAGCACGAAAAGTCCTCAGTGCACGGCAAATCCTAGATTAGTCTAACTGCCCTTTCAGTTGGTTGAAACACGTTATGGTGCTAAAGTTGAGCAATAATTGTTCTTTTTTTTCAAGAAATCAATTCTCAATCGAGCTCAAACCTCTACTATTCATCAAATAAGGCGAGAAAAAACTCACAAAAATTAAATAAAAATTGACGAAGAGAAAACTTTTAAAGTAGAAGAGAAAACTTTTAAAAGATTCTGGGCCATGGCAGATCTTTGCTTTTTCAAAAAAAAAACAAATAAGCTTGGAAAACATAAGACAAATTGGAAATGCTCCTATCATAAACATAAACTTTATGCGTGTGCACAATTGCGATTTTCATACTCACTAGTTGTACTGCAACCCGAAGCAAACGGTCACATGGATGAATCACAATTCAAAAACATTCCAAATCAAGAAGCACTAATTTCCTTTTTAGGGAAATAAGTTTGACAATTTTTGCCTGTTCTTAAGATAGTTTCCTTTTTCAGCTATATTGAGACTTAGAAACATGAGTCTTGCCAGTAAAATTGTTTTAAGGCGATTTCAATGTTAATTTTTAAAGATGTTTTCTAGACTTGTTGTTTACTCTAGACTTGAAAATTGGGTGTTTTTTTTCGAAGAGTAGTGCTGGATTGAGTACACAGTCTGTTTGTGACGCTAACTAGTTTCACCCGAAAAGGTTATTCAATTTCTAAATCTGATAACGTAAAAATGTTTTTCTTGTCTCCAACAGATCTATAGAAGTACTTGAAATGCGATGGGCCATGAGATCATTCACGGAAGATAATTATCAAAGCAAAACTAAGAATAAGTGCACTTAAGAGCTACA